ACAAGTATAGACTCGTATTCCGTGAGAGAAGGTGGGTAATCCACTGCCATGTCTCGTTTCTTGTAACCATGATCGTGGTGACTGTGACTCTTGATGCGGCGGTTCAGCGCTGCCCAGTCACGCTGACAAGCGTAGACACTTGTGGCCGTCAAGGCCAATGACAGAAGAGTTTGTCGCATAATGGAACTACTACAGTATTCCCTTGATTCCCTTGATGATCTCGAAGATCCAGTGTTCTTAAATGATCAAGTTACTTGACTTTTAAACATGCAGTCTTGAGGATTACCGTATGCTCGTCATATCATGAGCCCCTCTTACAAGGCTCAAAAGTTCCATAAGCATGCAGAATCAAGGCAGAAACCCAGGAAAGACCATTGAGTCTTCTTCGACCAATACCATGAGCCAATCTCACTTGCAAAGCCCGCGTTGTCCGCACCTCATGGTGCCTACGTGACATCGTACGAACTTCCTATCGGGCGTAGCGTTCATGTAATGCAACATGAGCCAGCGGTGAATGAGCCAAATTCAAGCAACGAGACTGCAGCTTATATCTTCGGAGGATTGGCTGGCAGTGAGGGGTAATATGAATTTAGTGATCTCAAGCGTGGGGTAGAGCTTGGCGTACGTAGTCACGCGTATGATGAGTTGGTTGGTATTCTTTCTTGCAAAGATGGCATCGGCCATGTATGCTCGAGAAACCGAAGGGTGAGCTCGGAGTGTTCGGGACGCTTCGAGCCGTTATCGGAAATCTTGAACCGCTGGACTCGATGTTCGATGAATGATTATTGATCCGGAATGTCCGGGATATCCATGATAGCGTGATTCGTGACATCGAATATTCATCCAGTCTAAACAAACAAAGCAACTTAGAGATGTACTTCTTGAAGATGGCTTTCCTCCGTCGAAGGCTAGTCTTTTCTAGTCAGGACTCAGGCCAGAGGCTTCAACTACAAGCCACAACCAAACGCCACACTGGGCCGGCCGAAAAGTCCACCGAGCGCCACGGAGCCTAGTCTATCCAGTCTTTGATGTAAAGATTATGGGTACTCGATCATATGTGAAGATCAGATTACTGTAAAACACTACTGCAGGAACAGACATGCCCTGAGGGAATGAGACACTAGACGCGCAATGGTGGTGCATCGAGGCGGGAGGTGTGAGTTTCAAGCACAATCTACTGCTGAGAGTCCAAGGTGTATAATATCCGGAAAGAAGGGGCTCAACCACGGATTCTGTACTGCGCAAACTGAGTGATCCAGTGAGAAGCTTACCATTCATTAGCCATCATGAGATTCATGAGTGAGTGAGAGATGAGTGAGTGGCCTCAGAAGCCGAGGGTCCAAGTTTGAGCGGAGTTTCCCCGGCGCACGTCCAGTCCCAGGCATCCTAGCTCCATCCCGAGGTACTTAAATTCGCTGCTAATTTTGCACACAGGCGAAGTAGCCTCGGCTAAGTCGTCCCGCCAGCTGCACTCCAGCTGCTTCTCCGCATCAAAGCGTCATCGCCCAGGAGCTCCAGCTCCAAGCTCCCCCCAAAGCTCCGAGAGCTCCATCAGATCTCACGCGATCCACCTCCCATCTGCAACCACCATCCATCCAGTCATTGGATCTCCCCTTATCAACACACACCCATCTCGATTCTCAGCTGGCTGGTTTCGTTAATCGCCTTATCGCCAGAGCTTTATCAATAGGCCCTCATCACGCAATCGCCCGTCATGTCGGAGAAGGCGCCGCTTATCCCAGAGCCGGAGCAGGGCGTGACTTACGGCCGGCCCAAGCGATGCCCGTACGCCCAACGATGCTCTGCGGGAAGAGCTGTGGTCAAGGTCTTCGTCCTGGCTACCGCTGCCGGCTTGCTATACTATAACATCCCTCAAGGTTAGGATCCCTCAGGCGATTTGTTGACAGCTACTAAAGTCTGTTGGTGTAGCCCAGAAACCCATCCACGAAGAGAAGACGCCCGTTTGCATGACACCAGCCTGTGTCCATGCCGCCTCTGAGATTTTGTACAACTTGTCGCCGAACTACAAGGACCTGGACCCATGCAACGACTTTGAGGAGCTTGTCTGCGGAGGATGGAGGGACCGACACGACCTCCGTGCCGACCAAGGCGATGCCTTCACCGGCACGATCATGTCCGAGAACTCGGAGCTGCTGCTTCGTCATATTCTTGAGGCTCCCTACCCAAAGGACTCCCAGGTCAGCACTGTCAAACCATGGCCCACGACCTCTGCTAACCGAATTCTAGCACTCGTACTTCTCGCCCCTCCGTCTCGAATCCACGGACAAGTCCGCCGATGAGCAGAACTTTGACAAGATGAAGGCTGCGTACGATGCTTGTGTTGACGAGGACAAGATCAAGGAGATCGGCGTCGAGCCCCTTATTCAGATTCTAGACGAGATCAAGACAAGCTACCCAGTCGAGGCGGCTGCCTCTGTCGACTCGAGTCCGACCAAAGACACAATTCTGCTTCTATCCAGATACGGAGTAAACGCTTTCGTTGCATCCGGTACTGGTGCGGATGACAGAGACCCCGATACTGTCGTTGTTTCTGTCGCACCTCCATACAGCCTGGGACTTCCCTCAAAGGAGCGATACGAAGATGAGAAGCTCGTTGAGAAGTACCGCGGAGTTGCAGTTGAGGTTCTCGGTAATATTTACCCTGATGGAAACAAGGACAACTTTGCCAAGGTTGTTGATCTCGAGAAGCTTCTAGCAGCCGCCTCTCCTCCCACCGAGGAGCTTGAGGATGTCACTGTGAGTTGAAGGAACATCTCTGTACCAGAATCTGAAGAAACTGACATTCGAGCAGAAAACCTACAACCCAATGCTCATCGACGAGGCATCTGCCCTTGCTCCGGAAATTGAGCTTACGGCATTGATCCATGATCTCGTCCCCGAGGGCTTTGTCGTTGAGCGTGTCATCGTGATGTCACCCAAGTACATGACCGAGTTGTCTACAATTCTTTCCGGGACCGACAAGGAGGTTATCCAGAACTACTTCATTTGGAAGGCTGTCCAGTCCCTTTCTTCCTACGTTGACACCGATGCTCTCAAGCCTTACAAGCGCTTCAAGAATGAGCTCGCTGGGAAGGTAAGCTTGAACTTGTGTATTCGACCAGTATGATACTGATTAATATCTAGGACCCCGAGTCTGCCCCTGAAAGATGGCGCACATGTGTTGGTCACGTCGATGACGGCTTGGGCTGGATTCTCAGCCGTTTCTTCGTTGAGAAGGCCTTCTCGGCAGAGGCAAAGAAGTTCGGCGACACCATCATCACCGACATCAAGACAGGGTTCACTAAGAAGCTCAAGGCCGCTAAGTGGATGGATAAGGAGACAACCACCAAGGCCATGGAGAAGGTTCAGAACATCATCCAGAAGATCGGCTACCCTACGAAGAGCCCCGACATCATGAATCCTCCCAGCCTCAACGACTTTTACAACTCCGTCGACATCAGCCCAGAGACTTTCTTCAAGAACGCACTCGCCGTTCGCAAGTTTGCTGTTGGCTACGAGTGGTCAGCCCTCGGCAAGCCCGTCGACCGAGAGCAGTGGGGCATGACGGTTCCTACCGTCAATGCCTACTACAATCCTCCCGGCAACGAAATCGTTTTCCCGGCGGGCATCATGCAGTTCCCCGTCTTCGACGTCGAAGTCCCTGCCTATATGTCTTACGGTGCCTTTGGCTCTGTCGCTGGCCACGAGCTCAGCCACGCCTTCGACTCCACCGGCCGCCACTATGATCAGAACGGCAACTACACTGACTGGTGGTCCGACGCCACTGTGCAGGCTTTCAAGGACAAAGCTGAATGCTTCGTCGATCAGTATTCCAACTTCTCTGTTCCAGGACCGGATGACAAGCCTCTCCACGTCAACGGACGCCTCACCCTTGGCGAGAACCTTGCGGATGCCGGCGGACTCTCGGCCTCATACCAGGCCTGGAAGCGCCGTGCCCACAAGCACCCCAACAAGGATCTGCCGGGCCTCGAGCACTTCACGCAAGATCAGCTCTTCTTCGTCACGTACTCCAACTGGTGGTGTGGCATGTCTCGGAAGGATACGGCCATCAACCGGATCTATACTGATCCTCATGCGCCCAAGTGGGCCCGTATTCTTGGCACAATGTCCAACAGTCGGGAGTTCAAGGAGAGCTTCCAGTGCAAGGACAAGAAGCCCACTTGCGAGCTGTGGTAAGACGCTTTGAGAGGGACTTTGGATATTAGCCGTCCTCTAAAGAATGGATACGTAGCGTTTGTGTGTATAGTTTGTACGGTAGTCACAGAATGGAAATCACTTGTTGACATAAAAATTCGACTGGCGAGTCACTGAATGAGCAGCGAGTGGGATTGTGATTCTTGCCCCCTAGCTGGCGTTTATCTATTTGGAAAAGACCGCCGTTTCTATCGTAACGCAGGGCGAGCGATTGACAGTACCTGCGCCAATAGGATGACGAAGATCAAACCTTCAAGCCATCAAGGTCATCTTCGTACATGTTTGCATATCTATCAGCGGTTACTGAGAATTGATTCAAGGTTCACGAGCATTTGGTAAACTAACCCCTGATCTACCGGGGTGAGTCTACGAAACCTGTGTCTTTCACCGCCGTCTTGCTGTCAAACCGGCTCTGGACAGTGGGGGTTCCATCGCTCAATACAGTGATCCCCTGAGCTGAAGTTGGAAATGCCCGTAGCAGTGCCCGTGGACCAGTCAAGAAGTTCCTGAACATCTCCTCGATGGAGGGTACTGAGGGATACGTCTGTATGTGTCCACGAAGGACAGGAATCCATCTATTACTGCCGTTGTTCAAGACAGTCTCCGTAGATCGGAGTCGGCGGGATTTCAGGGGTCAAATAATATAATTTAATGTCAAACATCAGGCCGCTACTACTCTCTATATTAAAATGGTCTCCATTTTTGGGGTGCATTGTAGATTTGTATGGGTTACTCTAGGCTCTGAAAGGTATGAACATTCCGAGCTACACGTACATAACTTCAATTTAATCGATGCAAGATCGCACGAGCTTAACAATAAGAGGGTTATTGCTCGAAAGATCGACCAAATCACTGACCGACTGTATCAATGAGTGTAAATAACTTGCACAAAGTACGAAGAAGAAGTGACGACTGCTCCGTGAAATTTTCGTAACATTCTCGGATCGTCTACGAGCCTTGGTAGCAGTGACGCCTTTGAAGTTTGAACGAGTTATATCTGGTTGTCTTGAAATAGCTGCGACCGTTGAGGTCACAAAGACCAACACAAATAGGAAGCCGATCATCGATGTCGTTGAAATCTCGGTGTTCGTGATAGGCTGCCATGGGCGGCTGCTGACTTCGCAGCTCACATTAGCTTATCTAGCTAGCAGCCTGGCAGGCGAAGTAGAGAGCCAATAATAACCCAGAAGTGAAACTCTTACAGTTCAGAGGTTCGCGGAAACACCAATAGGTGGAACTGTTCTAGACAGCAATATATCCGCGTTAGGTGTACGGATACCTCGAGTCGAGGGGCTCTTTGATTGTGGATACCGGGTGTTAGTGTCTGCGTTGTTCAACTCCTTGAGACAGGCCGGTCCCAGGGGTCATCGTTTCGTAACTGTCGAGGGCACGGGATTACGGGGCGCTGCCAGCCCCGTCGTATGGAGCAAGCTTTTGATGTTTCTATTCTTATTCAATGGAGAGATAGGGCTTTCAGCGCGGGCCTAGACAGGTACGCAATATCTTGTCTAGCAGTCTTTGGTCTTTGCCACATGCACCTATCTAGATTCAAATTCGGCCCCGATAGGCTCGGCATTGAAACATTCAATTTCTACCAATGAAGCTGTAAGTGATCATTTGTGAAAATTTAGGACACTAGAGAGAGGGACGTCGTAGATAGACTATTCCCTTTACCGAGAATGGCCAATGTCTGCAGTTTCTGGTCTTGGCACCTGCTGCTTGATGACTACATCAACAGTAAACTGGGGCACTGCATATGTCTCCGGTCATGGAGAGCACCTATCTCATCTCCTTTTATTGGCGATAGAAATGCCGCATCGAGAAGCTCGCTATTTCGATGCCTGTTCTGCGTATTGTATCCTTAGAAAGCCGGGGCACAAAGACGTGATGTATTCAATTGCGGTGGGCAGACGATTATCTATCTGATACCATGGCAGACCTCTTCTCGAGCCAAGACTCTGGCGATGACTTGCCTTATTCGTCCATAGAGGTGCGGGAGCTCCCTAGCTTCCATATACGGCCCTGCCGATGGTGGTTGCATTGCAGAATTTTCAACGTACACTCACGTTCTTGAGTGGTTGAATGTGTAGCATGGCGATAAATTGCCATGTCAGCCGGCGGCGATTAGGATAGATTAATCGAAGGGTGTTAAAAAATATCAGACCGAAAGGAATGAAGCTTATTCTATATTGCTTTTCGAAATTCAGGGCCGCGAACCCTCTTCGCCCCTGCACCTTGGCTTCGCTGCACGACTCGTCGACGGTGGTCCGGCCGTCTTTTCGTTGGGCGCCGCCGGAGGTAGCCCGTCGGAAGATACGCCGGGCCAGACCCGTCCAGTCGGGTTCCGTGCACGGAGCAGCAAGGGAGGGAGAACACGGTACATCCGACATGGAAGGACGGTAGAGAAACTGTTTGTTGAGTCAGGGCCCAGGGGGGTTCATGGGTTTTGTCGGGCATCGACGTTGATTGATAACGACATGGAACACGCCCAAACCCGGCCACTTTCACATGGTTGCGAGATATTGCACCAGAACGTCAGCAACCTGGTCCTAGTCTTCAGGAACACAGCACGGTGAACCGGACATGGGAGACTTGCCGGCCGCATCGGGGCTTTACGGAGGCGCCACAAAATTTTCGGTCTCGAGGTCGGCGGTTCAATGCTTCACTGAATTTTCAACAAGTTTTGTAAAGAGAGAAAATTGGGGACTGCGTTTCTTCGTTGGCCGGGGTTTGCTTGGACTGAGGTGGTTGGACATGATCTTTGGTTGCTTTGATCATGGAAAGGCGATGCTCCAAATAGCGTACCCTACGTCGAGAAACGATATGAAGCGGAAGCAGAAAATAAAAGGAATAATCCAAACGGTCACCTTGGCCCTAGGCTAGCGTGCGCAAACAGGAGCCGGTAGTCCGCGGTGACAAGGTCAGGTTCCGTGGGCTAGCTAGCGTACGGATTCACAACGATGTGAAATTTTGAGCAATTTCAATTTCTACGTACGGGCGCCGGATGATCTGCAACTTTGCATGTCTTGGTTCTTGGACTTGCTTGGACAACCGACAAGTTCCAATACTGCCAAGAAGACTCCATCAATAGAACGCTCCACAGGGGATGTCACGGTGTAGATACAGCAAATGTCCCAGGTTGCCAGGATGATGAAGAATGTTGATGGTAGGCTGATGGACGATTCAAAGAGCATCGTCGTTGACGATGCAACGACTAGTTCTCGGTGGCCGGACTGGACGGACGAACTTCGTCTCCAAAGGGAGAAAGTGGTGCGGATGGAGGCCCGACGCGTCAACATTCACTTGGCGGTGATGCTCACCACTGAGATATGGAGATATGAGAGGGCGGTGCATCGAGGCAGGCCGTGCGATGCGATAGTCACCGCTTGGTGTTTCTGCTTGTTTCCCTCTGGTAGCCTTTTACAAATGCACACCACCTAACAAGCCTCTCAAGGTCCTGGTTGAGTGGGTGGTAAACTTGGCAAGTGAGGCTCTCGCCAAGAGGTAGTGTCCACTGCCACGGCGGGAAGGTAATAGTTGATGAGTCCGTCACTCTTATCATCGACATGGACCCTCTTCTATGATGCGGCGGTGCATTGCCAATGCTGCTAACACGGCAGTGGATGCAGCCGGGCAATGCTTATCGTCGCACCGCGGGCGTTGAGCCGGACGTTTCGAGGTACGCCTTGGCGATGCGGCGGCGGTGTCGCAGTCGTAGTGTAGATGTGATCGTCCTGCGCGCTGGCTGGCCGGGCTGCATTACAACAGTCAGACAGGAAGACAAGGTCGTCTTGGACTCCGTTGACCGATTGTGGGCCGCGACTGAAGCGCGATGTGGGCTAGGGAGAGAGGCAGAAAATGGGGATTTTCCTACTTGGCGCTGGGCGTTTTGGTAGATCATGTCACCCAATCTGGCCAAGAGATTGAGCAAGAAGACGAAGCTACCGGAACGGGTTGATGCAGATGCAGATGTGCAAACCCACCGGCGCCCTATTGAAAGCCAAGTCAGCAAGCGAGGAACGTCGAAATGTGCTGAATGAGATCACATGGACAGGGTGTTTGGGTTGTTGCACTCGACTTTGCCTCAGAGAGATACCACGTATGTGCTCTTGACTTGCCTCTATTGGCGATGTCCCGTTCGTGATGCATCATCTTGGCGTTCCATACACTTTTTGCTTTGAGAGCTTCATTGGGTTGCGGTGCACAATCAATTGCTCCATGGAGAAACACCGCCACTGCTTCTCTGTTGGTGTGGAGCAACCAATGGTGCTAGAACGCCAAGTTGCTCACACTGTTCGAAGAGATGAGTTGCATCACCAAGGCTTCGCTCGGGAACAAACATGAGAAAAACAAGACGCGACGCGGGCTCTCATCGGATTGTGGACACCAAAGAAGAAACAAGAGCCAAGAGTTCACGAGAATAGAAACCGGCGGCTCTAGGGGTTTTGTACGTTTAGCATCTCTCATAGCGTGCTTCGTACAGCTCTCTACCGCTTTAGTATGCAGGGCCGCCAGCATTCGTCCGAATTGCTCAAGTGTTTGTGAGATGCTCCTATCCGGCATCGTGTGGTGGTATTCTGTTCAAGCCTCGCACACAGAGCGAACGGGAATTCGACCGAGCACTTTTGAGAGACTCTGTGGTCTAGAAATAAGCCAGCTATGATTTGCGGTTGCACATATGCACACCCTCTTTCTGCTCAGTCTGATGGATGGATGGCCAAGGGGCCAAGACATCTAGGACCACGTTTTGTGGCGGCTGTCTGTGTGTGGTTTTGTCGCTCACCACTGTCCACTGCTCGTTGTCACTAACATCCGTAGGCGTGGTGGGCATTGAACAATGAATTGTCATCACTGTCACTTTAGGCTCGAACGGCACGGCTCTTTGGGCATCCAAGACGTCGATCAAGAGGCGGAGAACCATCAGCAGAAATCTTCCGTGACAAGTCATCTCTCTCTTTGCCCATCTTCGTCATCGTCCAAGCTGTCAAGAATTCTACAACCTCCGAATCGACGAGGGCCAGCCACCCATGAAGCCTCCAAGACCCGAAAGTCCAGGGCCCCCGGGGGCATGAGGTGTGAGACTTCTGGCCAGGGAGGGCGCCTGAAAGGGGCAATCTGGGAGGGCAACGGGACGGGCGGCCCTCTTTTTTGACTTCTATATTAATTTGGACGGGTGGGACAACCGCAGGTCCGACAGCGGGACAGGTACGGCGAATTTTTCAGGGGTCATGTTGATGAAGTCTGAGTCTTGACTCTTGGGTATGGGAATCGAGAGAAGGGAATTGTTACTGATCATCCCCGTCGAGTGTCACCGTTGGCTGTTCGACGCTTATCTCTTCGCCCCCTTGAGTCCCGAACCTGATCCCTGGTCGCCTTCTTCACATGTCCGGCCAGAGCGGTGTTTCGCCCGGGTGGGTTCCGTCTCCTGAATCCCGTCAGACTTGCGCTGCCGCCGAAAATACACTAAACACTGGAGAGGGAAGAATCCGGGCTCTACGCCAGAGGATCCCCTTCACTGCAACCCCCGGCGGCCCTTCTGCTGCAGTAGACGTTCTGTGTCGAGGCTCTTCTTCGGTCCCGACACATTTTCGTGTCCATTGCAAGTGGGGGTGGATTCTCGAGTGTTTGGTTAAGGTTGAGGCGTTTTGGGCGATGGGCCATCTATGATCTGGGTGACTCGCGCCCGTCATCTAAGTGAGGCGTAGGCCGCTAACGTCTCGACCGGTGGTGACACTGAACATATTGTGGCAGGGCGATGTTTGCAGATGAACCATACGGAGCATTCCTTCAGTCTCATCACGACATACGGGGACAATTATTCGAAATGTCAAGCTTGAGCCGGTCTTGGCAAAGATGCGCAGCAATTCATTACGAACGCTTCTTCTGTTCAGTGCGCGAACTGTGGCCAAGACGATAGACACGAGCTGGCAGGAGTCCAATATTGTTGAGGCCGGCTTGGCCTTTTTCTGTCTCCATTCTCACAAGTCCATGCGGCGCTCAGCAACAGCAATAGTCAGTCAGCAAACAGGGTAAAGCCAGCTGAGGGACAAATTTGCAATGCACT